TATGTTCTCTTCAAATTTACGAAAGTCTATCCATTTCTTTGAAAATAGTCTTCACCAGAAAAATCCTTGAAAACGCAAAAAACGGAACGAAGAGACATAATAAGTAAAGCGGAAATGGAAACGAAAGTTTTTGGCTTTTTACTTTTCCATCTTGACACACAAAAATGTGGCAATCTTCCAAAGGAAGGAAGGAAGCAATCAATTTCAAAAACTGAAAGGAAAAACCCTATTGAAACAGTTCCTTTGATATAAACATTGAACTACACGAAAAAAATCCTTCCGAAAGAAATCTATTTATATGAACATTGAACCATACGAAAAACACTGTTGTCTACTCGGTTTGTATTCCAAATATTTGTTATGGAATTGAATCAGATATCACTCACAGGATTCCTACACAATATACTAAATGTGAGAGGTTATATATTAAATCACGTAAGAACCACCTGATAGGAGGTCAAGTCGTCGGGGTCAATGTCATGAGTAGTTATTTTCATAGCAAACAAAGTCCATAGATCCCAAGACATACCCGTTATTGAAATAGTTAATAGGTTAATAGGAGTATCCACAAAAAAAGTTTTGACAGAAAATACACTACTGGCGACGATAAATATAAACAACCGAGAAGTTGTGAATAATTGAAAGATGCAAGGCCGTGCCTAAATCACTCGAGGTACATCACAAGACCCAGGGTACATCACTAGGCCCAGGGAACATCACTAGGCCCAGGGAACATCACTAGGACCGGCAGGAGGGGTGCGGACCTCCTGACTTTCCCCTGGGCACGGCCTTGCAAGGAGGCCATTTTATTCTCTTCAGGCCCTAAGCTATTCACACTACTGGAAACCACACACACCATTCTACCAAACAGAGCACTAGATGTTATTTCTTTGATAACTTAATGCTACAATATCGGTCGGTAGCCAAGCGGTTCGACATGGGTGCTTTGTTTACTCACTCGAATTGACTGCCGTGTTAGTCGGTGGTTCAAGCCCTAGTCTGAACAATGGATTTCCACTTGCTATCGTCCAACCCGTGTTAGGAATCACACGTTGAAAGGTGAGACCTCGTTAGTCCTTAGCTCGCACAAGTTTCAACTTCTGAGGGTTGTCATTCGTAGGGGTACAACAGCTGGTTAACGGAATAACAGATTTTAAAACAGACAGATTTTTAAAACAGATTCAAAACATAATAAATAAATGTACATAAATTTATACTCTTGGCAAACTGTCGCCTATACAGTACACAAAATATTGGTCTACTCATCAAGCGTTATAGCTCATGCCTTGTTATCGATTGGACAATTATCGGAAGAAGCTGCGGAAACTCGAAATGAATACTTTCGGCAGTACAGAGATAGTTTTTCTAGAAAGTTTTCCAGAAGAGAGTGCAACGAAGATATACATAATCGACTTTTGCTTACTTCGGATCCATATCTTAGTAGCATGAGGCGAAAACAAAACAAATAAAAGCAACCATTCAGTGCTGAGGCTAAGCAGTTTTTTAAATTGGATGACAGCCTTCCTCAGGTATACTATTCATTAATTTTGATTTTGAGTAATACATCAAGTATTTACGTACTCACCCGAGTAGTTGACTTTGGGGCCCCCAAAAAAGTGGGAGCCCTAAACTCTAGCTTGTGTTGCTTGTTCGTGAATCCACTGTTTCTATTTTTCCCAAAGTTTCCAGATAATTATTTCAATATAAGTTATTGTAGATATTCCCTTTATTTTAACGGTTTTCTAAAGTTACTCTATGCATTTTAGAGAGAGCAAAAAGATCCAGAAATAGAGTAACTGAATATATTAACAGGAATGAAAAAATATCTGTAGCAAATATTGTAAGAATATACAGAAGATGGAAATGATAAAATAAATCAATTCATGTAGAAATGGTGTATGACCAAAAAGAGTGACGGTCAGCGATAGTATAGTTAATGCTCCTAAGGTTTCTGTCACCGTTATCACACGATGGGCGATGATCATATATTGATCAACGAGATTGTCACCGTAAGTGCTTTGCCATTACGCAAACAGGGACGGAGAACACATGAACCTACAGCTTTCCTTTACAGTAGGATCTGGTAAATGCCTGCTGCAAACTAACTCCTGCTTGTCAAATGAAGGAAGAGCTTTCTGAATTCCGTTATTTACCCGCCCACTAGATCTGCGTTCGTTAGAAGACAGTAAGAGTGTGTGAGAGAGAGGGAGAGAGAGAGAGAGAGAAAGTGTTCTCTGGTTACCCCAGAGAGGAAATTCTTTCAGGTGATGAAGAGTTATACTCCGAAACCAATTTGAAAGTGATCACACCATATATTGTTGTCCTGCTGTGAACGAGAAAATCTGAAAAATGTTTTCCAATACCTATTGCATGTTATAAATATCGAGGTATTGTCCGGAATGATATCATACCAAACTCTTTTACGAAGTTTCGACTGTGATTATCCACAAATGAACGAGTAGGTGACGGGTCTTCCAAGAGGAACTCCCGAACTTTGACAATTGATAACGGCTATCTTTGTTGAAGCTACATCTGTTTATTTAGCCTGTGGTTATTTAGCCTGTTTTGCCAAATCACTACGGTATTTTGTTTGGGCAACGTACCGCGCGCTTAGCCCATTTTTCGGTCGCCATAATCGTTCTACCGAGAGGACTATTCGTAATATGGTGGATAAATGAGTACCTCCTAGCTACTTGATCAATTGCTCCTTTTCCTGAGTGCCTGAGATTTTCCTGAGTGCCTGAAGATTTCAAAAATTCTGCCAATTGATAAGAAGGGAAATGACACTGACGTATAAAATTTCAGACCAATTTCCTTCATTAGCCCATTCTCAAAAGTATTTGAGAAATATGTTTCAAGCCTACTGATAACTTTTTTAATAAATGGGGTCTATTCAATGTGAACCAGTTTGGTTTTCGCAAGGGATTGCCCACAAGTCAAGCGATTACACAGTTCCTCAACAACGTGTACAGGGAGTTGGATGAAGCTAAAAAGACGCTAGGGATTTTCATAGACTTATGTAAGGCATTTGATCTGGTAGATCGCAATGGTTTGAAAGTTACTTAGAGGGTAGATACTAGAATAAATTAACACAAGAAAAATATTTTTTTAACAAAAAACCGACTATTGAACAATGAATGTACTGAATTTTAATTATCGTTAATAAATCATTGAGTTGAAGTTACCTCGAAACTATTGTGATACTCATATCAATGCTGAACAAAAAACACTTATTTTTCTGAGCAATTAAACCCTTTCCTTGAATATCAGCGATTAATAACCGCAGTCTGGTTATCAATATTTTTAATTGGCGATTAAACAATGCAAGCTTCGACAAAATAAAGATTACGGTACCAATTAGTACGATAAATAATACCTCGAAATAATGCTCAAAAAGTGCGATATTGCTATTGAGACCTTTGACGTAAAATTATCGATTTTATTTCTGTAGTGGAAAAGTTTTTATATTCTTTACGATTATACTGAATTGATATTCATACTCAGAAATAGTTGATCAGCGAAAAAGAACTCAATTTCGAGTTCTATATATTTCTCTCATATTATGAATGTCATGTCTCGAATATGAATAAGTGATTAAACATCTGGGCTGCTAAAGTCCCGGGTCTGAAAAAAAAAACGTTTTTTTTTTCTGTTCAAAATTGGCTGTATTCATCAATGTAATCTCCTTCAAGAGCCAGCGTCGCTCTAACAATTCACTACCTTTTTTGTAGAACGATTTATCTTTTGCCTTTTCATTCAAGCGAAATCTCTTACCGGTGAACATTTTTTTGAAGTCTACGAATAGCCAGTAGTCGCTGGGAGCCAAATCTAGCGAATATGGTATATGCAGGAGCAATTATAAGCCTTCATAATCATAAAATTTCAAAAGCTTCCTTTTGAAGGTTAGTACTAACTGAAAAATCGGCGAATGCAATAGAACTGGCGCCATATATGTGTTAAGCCCTAGACTAGTATTTCTCAAAGTGGGCGATAACGCCCCCTTGTGGGCGATGGAGGCCTATAGAGGGGTAGTAAAGGGCACAGAGGGCGTTGAAGCGGTTTAGGTCGGCGATGGATAATTTAAAAATGTTTTTTTGCTTTTAACACCGCTCCTTTACGCTTAACGCGCGTTTTCTCGTGTAACGCCATCTAGGGGACTAGACAGTAACTATTTCCTGTCCGATAGTTGTTAAACTGTACAGTAGATGGCGATAAGCTTCAATGCGAAGCGGCAAGTTTCTAGTCTCCATTCTCGAAAGTACTAGGCCCGCTTGCTGCTTCATATGAAAGCACGCGTGCCATTCAGCCAGTAATGACGACGACGGACTTCGAGCCAGTGCCGGTTTTAGCACTACCAGCGCCCCGGGCGATGCGGCGGCCTGCGGTGCCCCTTTATATCCGGCGCCCTGGGCGGTCGCCCAACCGCGCCCTAACCAAACGCCGCTACTGCTTCCAGCTTCCTGCAATATCTCTTTGCTGATGACTCAAACAGGTAAGTCTTACACTATTGGAGATGATTCAATTTTACCGGCAATAAAAGAAGTAATAACTACTGTGCTCTATAAACCAGCGGCAGATATCATCCTAAAATTCCTTTGAGCAATAGTTCCGTGAAAAGATGAATTGATGAGATGGCTGAAAACATTGAAGAGTCATTGTACAATCATCTGAAGACTTCTAAACTCTCAATTCAGTTAGATGAGCCTACTTTACTAACCAATGAAGTATTGTTGTTGTCATACGTGAGGTTTATTAAAAATGAGAAACTACTATTTGCCAGAAATTCAGAGACGGATACAAAAGGAAAAACCATATATAATACACTGGAAAAAATTTGTGACGAGAAAGAAATTCCACTTTAATTCTCGAAGAGGGCGGTGGACAAAATAAGTTTGAGAATCTCTGCCCTAGACTTTTCAGCCCATGTAGTACATACCTGATTACAAAATTGCAGTCTTGAAATAACAAACTTTAATGATTTCCAAAATCAAGTTACTCACCAACTTTGGCATGTTCTGGAATACATCCTTGATCCAGCGAAGTGGCACGGTCTGGACTCAACGATTCAGGACGATTGGCAGGAGAATAGGGTAGGAACAATCCTGGAATCGGATGCCACATATAAGGAGGATAAGGAGACGTTACTAAAGGGTTCATAGAGTTTGCGTACATTAAGGCACTCATTCCTGTAACAAAAAAAAAGATCTCAGCGAACGTGTAGGAAAAATTACGTATAGTATAATTGGTAAAAGAAGTGGCGCCTCATTCAAAATACTACGTTTCAAAAATATTTTGTTTTGAATAGGGTGATACAGATACAGTTCATCTTGATCATTTTCAAACTATGGAAAATCACAAGCCTCTTCAGACACTCACGATTATGGAGAGCAGTTTCGAATACGTAAGAGATACTAAAATCACAAATGAGTTTGACACCAATGGGTGACACAAGCTCAAGAATGAAATTGCTGCTGAAAATTATATTGAAAATCGAATGGTATCCCCGAACACTTCAGCTGGTAACGACTTCATTGTTGCTAGCTCTCCACCTTTTCAGACGTCACAGTGTAACTATCCGAACATTAATATCTCATTTTCATAAATACTGAACTAGGAAGTTAGAAAAAGTTGTTGTTAGGTCAGTCTGACTTTTGAAAGTAGTCAAATAAGAATTGGAAGGAATTTGAGCATATGGTGACACTGACTATTACATGAAATGCAGAAGGATGGTAATGAGTCATCAAAATGGACCTTCCTTCAGATTTAATTCGCTAAACAATTTCTCTGGTAACAAAAATGGCATTGAGTCAGTGCCTGATCCAGTTAAATTATTAGACTCAAGACAATTGAGACTGGAGAAGGAAATATTAGCTCTACAAGTGAGAATTTATACAAAAAAAATTGAAAATATTATAAGTCTGATGAATTTATAAAAATGAACCGCAAACTGCTGAACTAAAAGCACAAGAAAAGTTAGAAAGGTGAAAATCAAAGAAATCAAACCGTAGCAGATTGAGTAAACAACATATCTGAATATTACCCAAACGAATCAGACAGAAAACAAACCTCTTTGAAACACTGAATCAAGTGCTATCAAAAGTGTTTCACTTTCGAATGAGAGTATCAGTAAACTTCTAGCAAGACATGAAATGTCTGGTATGATGTTGACAGCAGACAATGGGTTTTAGGTAATGGAAACATTGGCAACATGATTTGGCAGACTTGAATTCATAATCGATTGAATGATCTCCAAAATTAGAGATTTGTCTCTGGTCCAGAATTTGAATTTTGAGAGACTGGTCAACTTTCCTAGTAAAGTACACATCATAGTCGTTTGAAGAACTCTCAGTTGAAGAAAGACCTTTTGAATGAATTCCAAAACCATTTGAGTTGAAATGGGGTCAACAAATTATTGACAAAGAAGCTCTATTCGATTTGAAAGATTTCTCAAAATGTGTGAAAGAAGTTGCAAAAGCAGCATATTTTGTCAGTATCCCTTGTTTCTCAGGTAGTGACAAATTTTTATACAAATCCTTTCTTTGTGATTCACTATTTGGAACCTTTGGTGTAGCAATGAATATTACTGGAGTTTTTTCCCAACACCAAACTTGGATCATTTGGTGATCGAAACACATGTCAAGGTGTTAAAATAACGGTTTGGTGTTGGGAAAAAACTCCAGTAATATTCAAAGAATACTGTAACAAAATCAAAATTGTCTACAACACTTTGCTGTTGAAAACTCAAATGCACTGCTAGATGGTCTAGATCTTTTGCAGTCTTTTGTGGCACTTTCAAGGAAGTTCAGGCGGTAAAATATTCAACTTCATGAAGATGTCAGACATCTTCCATCAGATTTGAATCCGAGGGAAAGACTGAAATTCTTAGCGTTTCTTTGTCGAAATTTTGTTTGTTAGAGAAGTCCTCATATCTATTAAATGGATGTATTAACCTTTGGAGTCACCTGTTCTCCAGCTTGTACTCAATAAGTAAATAATTTATTTGAATACACTAGAGCTCCTGATCAATCATAAGAGAGTCCAACCAAATTTTGTGTTGATGATTACGTGGACTCTAATGACATCAAACAGGAATGCAAGGTTGAACAGAGGAAGCTGCAGATACAATATCTGAGATCTGTAGAAAACAGAAACTGGCTGATTTTTAAGTCACTAACTGAATGATACAATTCATTCAGAAGAATGAACTGTGATGGATCACTTGTTCACTGAGTCCTCGTGTCAGGATAGGACGCAGAGAATGACAATTTTCTGTTCCATGTCAACCTGAAGAAAAATATTTGGAAATATCCTACCAAGAGAGTGGTTCTGAAAGGTTTGATGTCGTTTCAGGATCCATTGCGTTAGTTTCACCATGAGAAGAGAAATCCTCAGGCAGGGTAATTGACGACTAGATGTTGGTTGGGATGAGCCATTGCCTCTTAATTAGTCACAAACTTGGGAAAAAATTAAACCTGATAAGAAAAGTAATGATTCTATGTAAATGCTTTCATTTTAATATTTACAATATATTCACTAGATAGAATAGTGAGAAGTAGGTGAAATTCTAATTCGACTGCATGCACTTACCATTAACTGTTAAATAATTTTTGGTCCGTTGAAGGTCTTTGGGATATACTAGGGAGAAGGCGCTATGTCTTGGAGCAGACAATGGAGAACGTGGTGAAGAAGGACTGACGCTCCTCGATGAAATCCCTGCTGTGGGACTGCTGGAGGGACTGCACGGTGATCTTGGAGGGGTGTCTCCAGGAACATTGTAGTGCGATAAAGTAGCCAGGCGGGGCATTCTGTGAAAATAAAGGATTATGGATGAATTGAGACTATTATTTCGAGAGATGAGGCTACTTCTGGAGAAATTTAAGATTTCACCTGTAGACTTCCAGGAGACCAAATACTATGTGTTCGAGATCGGCCTTTGAGTGACAGATTCAAGGGAGCGTCGTCTTCTGAAATATAAAAATATACTTTAATAATCCTAAACTATAATACTTCGTTCAATAGAAATGAATCAAATGGTGCTAAAGTCACTGAAGGCATGGAATGTTAGTTATTTCTAGCTTCTTCAAGACTGCACATGTTTGGATAACTGTGAAATCTTAGGATGTAGGACTGTTTTTCGCTGCCGTTTGGAACTTCACCAAATTCATACTGAGGACTTGAAATGCGTAAGTCCAATATTGAAAACAATAGAAAATACACAAAGACGGAGTTTCGATAAAAGTGTGCTCTGGAGATGAATTCATAGAATTGTTAGCGAAAAACACAAACTTTTTCCACGATTTTTTTATCCTTTGCTCAACTAGTGCTCCATTTGAACTATCTCTTGGATCAACAACACGGCAAAAAATACTTGAAATCGACATTCCATCGATATGAAATGACAGAAGAGGAAAAATAGGAAGGTACGACTGATTTTCGATAGGTATATTTCCAATTTATTGATAAATCTTTTTACAAATACACAATGGCATTCTATGAGTATTGAAATTGTATATTAGTAGTTGAAGAACAACTTTTGTTCATTTTTCTTATAGAATAAATAGGTCAAGAGATCTATGGAAAAAGTCCAGAAGACAATTCGTTTTTTTTTTGCTTTTTCAAGTTTTTGTTTATTTTCACTAGTTGCAATCATGCGTTTAGTGTTTATAGAAGTGATTACTTTATAAATTATTAGTTCACTAAAGTCTATCCAAATCCAAGATAGAGTAAAACAAAACAAAACCGAAGCGTGATGTTCACGTGATCGCCCAGTGTCAGATGGAAAGGGTAGCGTTCATTGGTGAATTCGCCTTCTTGGTACGAGTTCGGTACCAGCACAGGGTT